GGTAAAATTCACCTGTGAATTGATCTGGCCTAGGACTTTTGTTTTTGGGAGTTTTTTTTTTTTATTACTGCTTCAATTTCACTAGTTTTAATCTGTCTATTCCAATTATTTTCATTCTTCCTGATTCAGTATTGAAAGATTGTATGTTTCTAGAATGTATCCATTTCATCCAGATTGTCCAAGGTGTTGCATATAGCTGATCATAATATTTTCTTACAATCCTTTGTATTTCTGTTGAGTCCATTTTTATTTCTCTTTCATTTGATTTTATTTATTTGGGTATTCTCTCCTTTTTTCTTGATTAGTCTGATTGAAGGTTCATAAATCTTACTTAACTTTTGAAAGAACTAGCTCTTGGTTTCATTGATCTTTTGTATTTTTCAACTCTATTTTGTTTATTTCTGCTCTAATCTTTATTATTTCTTCTACTCACTTTGGACTTTGTTGTTATTTTTCAAGTTCCTTTAAGTGTAAAGTTAGATTGTTTATTTCATATTTTTCTTGTTTCTTGAGATAAGCCTGTGATGCTATGAATTTCCCTTTTAGGATAGATTTTTTTTTTAACCTTGTAATTGGAACCTTTATGTATTGTTTGAGGACCAGCAAGGATGTCAGTATGTTTGAGGCAGAATGATTGAAGGGGGAGAGAAATACAAGACGAAGTCTGGGAGAACATATGGATCAAGTTACACAGGACCTTCAAGGTCACTAGGAATCCCTTATTCTTTTTTTTTTCTTTTTTTTTAAAATTTTATTTTATTTTTTCAAATACATTTGTCTCTGCCTCCCCCCCACCACTTTCCCTTGCCCCCTCTCTCCTTCCCTCCCTCAGCTCTTCCCCTTCGGTTTTGTCCATGAGTCCTTGCTATATGTTCCTTGACTTTCCCCTTCCCTTCCTTGTCCCGGCCCCCCACCTTCCTCCTTCCCTCTTGTCTCTGTTGATTTCGTTTCCTTTCAGTGTTGCTGGTCTTATTTTCCTTGTATCTTTGTATTGTTGGTTAGGTTCCGCTGATAGGTGAGATCATATGGTATTTGTCTTTCGCCCCCTGGCTTATTTCGCTTAGCATAATGCTCTCCAGTTCCATCCATGCTGTTGCGAAGTTTAGTAGTTCTTTTTTTCTTTCTGCTGCATAGTATTCCATTGTGTATATGTACCATTACTTTTTGATCCAGTCATCTACTGATGGGCATTTAGGTTGCTTCCAACACTTGGCTATTGTAAATTGTGCTGCTATGAACATTGGGGTGCATAGGTTCTTTTGAATTGGCGTTTTGGGATTCTTAGGGTATAGTCCCAGCAGGGGAATCACTGGATCAAAAGGCAGTTCCATTTTCAGCTTTTAGAGGAAACTCCACACTGCTTTCCACAGTGGCTGCACCAGTCTGCATTCCCACCAACAGTGTACTAGAGTTCCCTTTTCTCCACAGCCTCGCCAGCACCTGTTGTTTGTGGATCTGTTTATGATGGCCATTCTGACCGGTGCGAGGTGGTACCTCATGGTGGTTTTGATCTGCATTCCTCTGATGGCTAGTGATGCTGAGCATCCTTTCAAATGCCTCTGGGCCCTCTGTATCTCCTCCTTGGAAAAGCGTCTGCCCAGGTCCTTTGCCCATTTTTTGATTGGATCATTTGTCTTCCTGGAGTGGAGTTGAGTGAGTTCTTTATATATGTTGGAGATCAAACCTCTATCTGATGTATCATTAGCAAATATATTTTCCCATAGGGTTGGCTCCGTTTTCATTTTGCTGATGTTTTCTTTTACCGTGCAGAAGCTTCTTATTTTGATGAGGTCCCACTTGTTTATTCTTTCCTTTATGTCCCTTGCTTTAGGAGACATATCAGTGAAAAAACTGCTGTGTGGGATATCTGAGAGTTTCCTGCCAATATTCTCCTCTAGGACTTTTATGGTGTTGCAACTTATATTTAAGTCTTTTATAGGATAGATTTTTGTGTGTGTGTTTCATACATTTTGAATTGTTGTATTCTCATTTTCATTTGTTTTAAGGTATGTTTTGATTTATTCCTTGATCTCATTGTTAACACATTCATTGTTTAGGAACATGCTATTTGGCATCCATTTATTTGTGGGTTTTTCAATTTTGTTCTTGTGATTGATTTCTAATTTCATAACACTATGGTCAGAGGAGATGCTTGATATGATTTCAATCTTCTTAAATTCATTGAGACTTTTTTTGTGTCCTAATATGTGGTCTATCTTAGAAAATATTCCACGTGCTCTCAAAAAGAATGTATAACCTGCTGCTTTGAAATGCTCTTAAGATATCAATTATATCCACTTGATCTAGTGTGTCATTTAAGGCTGCTGTCTCCTTGCTGATTTTCTGTTTGGAAGATCTATCCATTGATGTTAATGGACAGTTATATTATCCCCCACTATCACTGTATTATTGTCAATCTCTCCTTTTATATTTATTCAGATTTGCTTTACAGATTTAGGTGTTCCTATGTTGGACACATATATGTTTACAAGGGTTATAGCCTCTTGTTGGATTGTTCTTTTTATCATTAAATAGTGTCCTTTTTTGTTTCTTACTACTGCCTTTGTTTAAAGTCTATTTTGTCAGATATAAGGACTGCTACCCCATCTTTTTTTCCCTATTTGCATGAAATATCTTTGTCCATTCCTTTACTTTTAGTCTGTGGTGGATATCTTGTAGACAGCAGATATATGGGTCTTGTTTTCTTATCCATTCTGCTACCCTATGTCTTTTGATTGGAGCATTTAAGCCATTTACATTTAAAGTGATTATTGTTAGGTACATATGTATTGCCATTTTATTCTTTTAAATATGTCCCTCTGTTTTTCTTTCTCCCTCTCCCTCTGCTTCTCCCTTTCCTTCTCCTCCTCCTCAAAGCAGGCCATCTATTTTGTAATATCGGTTTGGTGATAACAAAATCCTTTAGCTTTTTCTTGTCTTGGAAGCTCTTTATTTCTCCTTCAATTTTAGATGGTAGCCTTGCTGGGTAAAGTAGTCTTGGTTGTAGGTCCTGGCTATTCATCACTTTAAATACTTCATGCCGATCCTTTCTGTACTAAAATGTTTCTGCTGACAGTCTTATGGGAGCTTTCTTGTAGGGAACTGTCCTCCTCTTTCTGTTTTTAAGATTCTCTCCTTGTCTTTCACCTTTGTCATTTTAATTATGATGTGTCTTGGTGTGGACCTCTTTGGATTCTTCTTGTTTGGGACTCTCTGTGCTTCCTGGATTTGTGTGTCTTTTCCCTTCACCAGGTTAGAGAAGTTTTGGGTCATTATTTGTTCAAATATGTTCTCGATCCCTTGCTCTCCCTCTTCTCTTTTTGGTACCCCTATGATGTGGATGTTGTTATGCTTCATGTTGTCTCATCTCTACTTATCTTTTTCAATTATTTTTTCTTTTTGTTGCTCTGATTGTTTTTTTCTACCTTGTCTTCCAAATTGCTGATTCAGTCCTCTGCTTCATCCAACCTACTGTTTATTTCTTCTAGTATAGACTTCATTTCAGATATTGTATTCTTCATTTCTGACTTATTCTTTTTTTATGGTTTCTATGTCCTTTTTAATGTTGTGGTAGTTTTTTCTAAGTTCCCTGTAGTTCTCACTAAGTTCCTTGACCATCTATATAATCATTTTTTGAACTCCATGTCTGGTAAGTTGCTTGCCTTCATTTCATTTAGCTCTTTTTTTCTGGAAATTTCTCCTTTTCTTTTATTTAGGGCATGTCTCCAAGCAATTTTTTTTATTACAAAAGTAAAGAAATCTTTTCATTAGTCCAAAGGGTTTTTTTTTTCAATGCCTGGTATTTCAGCAAGTGATGCAAAATTATGAGTTCCATATAGCTTCATTTCAAATGCAAATCCTGTCAGCTCTCAATAAACTAATACCTATCTTTCTGTCTATAAAATAGAAATATATTTTCCAATTGGATTTGTCTCTCATTCTAGCTGATGCTGATGATAACAATAACAATATCAACAATAGCTATACTGAAAGTTTATTTCTGCTAGGGCTATGCTAATTGCATTTGCATTAGATATAAGTACTATTATAATCCCTCTTTGATAGGAAAAAAACCTGAGGCTTAGTGATTAATTTACTTTCTCAAGGTCACAAAGCTAGTAAGAGATAGGATGTGAAATCCAGTCACCTGACACTAGAACCTATTCTCCTAACCAATACTCTATAATTCCTTCAACATGGTATTTCCTAGGACATAAAATTGAAATATCAGCACTGTATTTGTTAACTGTCATTTTCAAAGTGAGAAAGTATAAAAAGTATAACAATTTTTTTTTAAATGACATTTCAGTGATTAAAGTAAAGTAAGCCATCTCAGCCTATTTTTAAAAGTGTTCCTTCATCTGTGAAGGATTTCCTAATTTTTTCCAGTCAGATTTGCCCTTTCCATAATTTATCTTAACTCTTTGTTTTGTCTGACTCAGGTAATTGATCATATTTTGACTTATTTGAAAAATAAGACATTTATACAAGTAACACCAACGCAAAACAAAATGTCTACTCTTTGAGCAGAAAATAAATGCTTTGTACATGTCAGGCATTGCACATTGTCAATATTCAGCAAATACATGTCAAACACAAATTGAATCCAGAGAAGTACTTAGGTCATTGATTGTATACTGGAATGAGCTCTGCTCAGAATCTTGTAATTGAAATGCTAAGAGAAACCATGAAAGGAAACAGACGTAATATTTTTATTTTTTAAATGAGATAACTAGAGAACAGAGAAGTTTAATGACCAGCTCAAGATCACACAGCTGGTACTTGCAAAGGAGATTCCCAGCCACGCACTTCCAGTTAGGCTGCTATATGAGTTAAATCTGATATAAATCTGCTCATGGCATCCATATGCCTCTTGGATTAATTTCCTTCCTTTTATAAAAATAAAGGCTACAGGTAAGGATATGGAAGCAAGACTCATATTTCCTTTGATGACCCCAGAAGAGCAGGAAAAGAGAGAAAGTTCATTTTTAAAAACCTACGCTGACAAGCATGGTTGTCATCACGATAGTGCCCTGGGAAGCAGGTGGTGCTGCAGGTTCCAAGGTGGGATAGGACAAGGTCAGTATCACATGAGGAGCAGGAGAAGGGTCCTCTGCCCTGACAGGTTCTGCAGGAGGGGTGACATTCTGCAGAGGGAAAAGAGACACAAAGAGAGCCTATGAAACCAAACTCCCTTCCAAAGCAGCATCCCAAGAGTTGTTCATAAAAGCCCCAATGCTGAGAGTCTTAGCTGGTCTGATTTATTATTTCACAGTGTTCTCCCTGCTCACTTGTGTGCACGTGTGTGCTCTCTCTCTCAACCTTCTCAGTTATTACCCCAAAGAGAAGCTTTGAGGTACCGCAGCTCCTATGTCCAGCACTTACTCACTTTTACAAGCTCCTTCCTCTGTGTAATATCCAGAAGGGCACTCAGGGACACAGTGGTCCCCCAGCAGCAGGTACCGGGTATCCTGGCACCTCAGGCAGATGCTCCCGGTGTTGTGGAGATCAGCTGCACATTGCTGGCACAGAGGATGGCAATCTGGAGAAGCAAGGGGACACAGAGAAGGCACAGATGATATGAGCACCGAGTCTCATCACTATACCAAAGGGCAGATGGAATTGCAATGACCGCTGCTGCAGCACAGACAGCCAGAGCAGCCCAATGGCAGTATATGGCAGTAAAGCACAAGCTTGGGACCTGTACAAATTGTGCATCTGAGGTTTTTAGCAAATGGTCAGGCCCAGCACAGCAATTGCATTTTCATCCCTTTCCAACTAAACAACCTTCAAGTTCTAGGGCAGCATGTGATAGATGCTTGCTAGGGGAATACCAAGAATCGTCAGGGTCACAGAAACAGTATACCATCACCATTTCCCCAAGAGCTCCGAGAACCCGAGGACAGAATGCCCTCCCTTCCCAGTGGCCCTGAGCTGAGTTCCCTGCCCTCACATGGCTCCTTCTTACAGATTTGGTCTTCCAAAGTCAGTTATATGAGTCTTAAGCATTGGTACAGCAGGGTTGGAATTAGTAAATCATTGAGGTGAGTTGGGAGAAAACTTTAATTTTTAATTAGAGGTAAATATATGAAGAAGAGTTTTGAGCTGAAAATTCATTTTCCTGGCATGACACATAGCTTGCAGAAGCTCTGACATACCCAGTTATGATTGAAGCTGTAATGCAAATTATCTGGTCTGGTCTGGTCACACTGTCTATTGTTCTCACCCATATAATAGTCATCCCTTAGTTAAAGATCTTGATTGTGTTCATCTCCCACTTAGATAAAAACGTCCTCTGTCCTACTTTCCGTGATAATTACCCTTTAAGTCCGATTTACCATCCTCCATCTCAAAGGTGGAAGAAAACCCACAAATCCCAAATTACCCACCAAAATAAAAGAGGAGTAAAAGACCTAGGAAAAGAGAAGGCAGAGTTCTGGTTATAGGGCCTTTCCATCTTCCCCATAAGGATTCAAAGCGCTGTTTGTATATGTGGTAATGTCCCACTCAGGGACCAGGTATGTCTTGTGTCATTTCAAAGTCTTGTAGACAGAGATTGTGATTTCTACTCAGGTTTAGACTAAAAAAAAGAAAAAGAAAATCCTGTCATTGAACAGATTGCCTGACCCCAGAAATCTGTTAAAATGGGTCTTTATAGACCCTCAGTGATATACTTTCTTAACTGCTGATCAGCTGAGATGCGTTCCCTGAGCAAGCAGCAGATTTCAGTCCCATGCCCAGCACCCACTCATCTGCATGAGGAGCTGTTCTAAAAACTTTCCAGCAGTTTAACCAAAATTGTCCTTCTCAAAAATGCTGGCCCTTCTATAATAAGCATGCAAACTAACAGCCCCTGACCCTTCTCTGAACTTGGGCAATTTCAGGTTACAAGCAGCCTTTTGCCAGTATCAGGAATAATTCTGGATATCCGAAAAGCCAAACTAAGCCTCATGATAGCCCTTCAGAGATTTATAAAGGAAATTGACTGTATTGAGAGAAATATGATAAGAATGCTATTTTTCCTGATTTCATGTATGGTTTCCACACAATGTCAACCTTTTTGTTCTTTTTTCCTGTGCCCTCCTCCCAGTGCCAGAAGCGCAGTCCCGCAAGTACAAAGGGGAGAGTCAGGAAGCTTCAAAAGTTCGGGAGCAAAGGGAGATTGTGTTTCGCGATTACCTTAATGAGTGGGTACACGTTAGGATTGGACACCCAGGCAACATAACTGATTCAAGGCACCATTATTTGAAAGGTCATGGCCTCTTCCTCTTTAAAGCAAACGCTCACAGAGACGCTTGGGCTCAGGCAGGCATCAACAAGATCTGCAGGTGTTCAGAGATCTAAAAACTGGTTGCATCTAACTGAAGTTTCCTCTAGTGTGCAATTAGAGAAATGAAAAAGAATAATCACCCAGGGGATGCTTTGAAGAGAAAGTAAGCCAATCTTGGGAGTATTTTGTGGGTACAACAAATAAATATTTACGGATTTGTCTTATCTTAAGGATCTCTAGAAGCTGTTGAAAGGAGGAGTGTAATGTGTAGTAATTATTTCTAAAGGAAGTTACGGCTGGGCTACGGATGCTCCCTCCCACCCTCACGGCAGCTGCACTTAAACCCCTGCCCCTCTGCTCCAGTCACTACCCACCCGCCCACCCTTCCACCTCCACCCTCCCAGGTTATTTCATCTTCTGCCTCATTTGGCCCGTCAAGCATGGGAACCTTTGATTCCTCCCTGCCGACCTCAGATCATCTATCTTTACCCATTTTTATTTCATTTCTTCTCTCACAGGATGAAATGGCTAATTCTTCTACCTACATTCTTGGCCAATTTTCAACATTATTTAAACATTATTGCATTTTCCCTCATCTCTAGTTACTTTCCTTGACTTCAACTTCCAAACATGTCCTACCTCATCTACCACACAAAAAAGTTTTTCTCTACAACCACCCATCTCTTTTCATCCATTCACCTACCACACAACTTCTTTGCCTCCCTAACTCGTCACCTCACCGTAACCTGCCTTCAACCTCCTCAGTTCTACTGTGGAGAGACCTTGAAAAGGTCTCTGACTGCCACTTAATAATCAAACTTAATGGCCTCCTGTGATTCCTAACCTAACTGAAATCTCTGCAATACATGACATTTCAGGCCACCCTCCTCCTACCTTCCTATCCCCATTAGCATGCCTTATTCTGGGGTTCTGCTCAGCTGGGTCCTCGTTCTCTGCTTGAGAAATGTAGAGGTTGCTCACAACCCTCAACCTGTTCTATCTGCCTAACTACATCTCACTCTTTGGAGGTATTAAATCAGACATGGCTCTTTGCAGCTACCAGAAGCCAGTGGAAAGAGCTCAAAAGTGGTAGAGTCTCCAAAATCTCAAGGCCTCTGCTTCTCTCCATGGTTCCATGGTTAAATATTAAGATATATCACATTGCATGGTGGAGTGAGTAGTACCCAGAGGCAAGGAGAAAGTAATTAAGGACACTTGAAAATATAAAACAATCACCTGCAGGCTACCCTAAGCACCACATTAATCCAAGTTAGTTTATAGTTTTACCCACATCCATAACTCTCCAAGTCTGGAAAGTTGAAATCTCTAACTCCTTTTGTTCATTACTTGCATTCATTCCTTATTCATTCATTCATGGTTTAAAAATTCATACTAAACACCCAATCCCATGAGTAGATTCAATCTGAGTGGGTCCCCTGGTAATACATTCATGTAAACCTCTGGTCCCAATTCTACCATATACAAGCCCCCAACAGAAGACCACTTAAATAAATATGCCCTAAAGTCAATCTGAAGGCTGACTGAGTTTTATTAAACCAACCAGAAAAGAAAAATAAATTCCTAAAACCTAAGAAACACTTTTGTCTTGAGAGGCTTGAAGTCAAAATCCCCCTGTAGGAGAGAATTCCTTGGGAGAGCTCAACATGAGTAAAGATGTGCAGGGAAAGGTGCCAAAAGTCTGAGCAACAAGGACTTGAGGATTAATACCAGTGTTCTGATTTATAATCAGAAAAGTATAGTTCCCAAGGGTAGGCTACAGAATGAGGCACAACAGGCTACAAGTGGCCAGTCCCACTGGGCACCACTAGCAAGCAAGCTTCATCCTCAAGCCCAGGGCCCCATTGGGATCTTCAGGAGAGGGGCTTAGAGGGGCTCAAACAGGGATGTTGGCATTTTATTTTTTCTGACTACAAAGTGAGCCATGAAAGAAAATATGAAGAACATTTTTACAAAGTATAAATAATCACACAAATCACCCTAAGTAGGCCTTCCAAATGAAATACTAACATCAAAACTTTTCTTAGTTCTTTTTCTATACAATTTTACATATGTATATTTTAATAGCAGAGATATTAAATGTTGTCATGTAATATCTTTATTTTTACTCAATACCATCAGCATTTCCACATGTCATTAAAGACTCTGTACACATTATTTATAAGGGCCGCATAATATTTTAGCATTGAATAAACAAAAAATTTGCCATCTTTCTTATAGCTTCAATATCAACTTCCAATAAGTAAAGCCATAATAAGACTTTTGTACATTTTAAATTATAGTTGATCCTTGAACAACACAGGGGGTCAGGGGTCCTGACCCCCTGTGCAGTCAAAAAATTTCTACATAATTTTGACTCTTGAGAAACTTAGTTACAGTTGTCCCTTAGTATCCATGGAGGATAGGATCCAGGACCTCCTGTTGAGACCAAAATCTGAGGATGCTCATGTCCCTCATACAAAATGCATATAGTTGGCCCTTTACATCCTCAGATTCCCAAACATGGATCAAAAATACTATTTTGCAATGCAGTGGTTGAATCCATGCATGTGAAACTAGAAACATAGAGGGCTGACTGTGTATTTATTGAAAAAGATATCTGTGTATAAGTGGGATCGCACAGTTCTAAAATCATGTTGTTCAGGCTCAACTTTATTTCACAAAAGACAATGTCAAGAGAGTATAATTATTACTAGAGTTTACATTTATTGAGGTCTGATATATATCAAGCACTATACAAACTATTATAATACATAATCCCATTTGAAAATATAAAGTAGGCATTGTTACTCTCCTTGTTTGAAAGATGAGGAAACTGAGACTTAGAGGTTAAGTCATATGCTCACATGTGTTATATCCAAAGCATACAATTTTAACCACTGTAGACAGGAAAAAATGTGAAATACTTAATAGATATTAAAAATTTCTTTCCAGAAATCTTGTATCAATTTACATCTCCAAGAGCCATTCATGAGACTGTTTCATTATAACTGCCCACACTAAGATTTTAAAAACAGTAAAAACCTCAGCTAATTTGGCTGTTAAAACTGGTGTTACAGCATAACATTGAACATTCAAAAAACTCTTTTCTTTCAAACAGCAAAAATGTTGAAAATCTACTGTATCCATTGAGTTTTCAGTATGGTGGAGAAAAATGCCCCTGGCTGTGTAATTATAAATGAGTATAAAATATGTGCAACCAAACAGCAATTTGAGATATCAATCAGTAAGTTCTTTCCTCGTCCACTGTAACC